CACAAGGGGTCGAATGTCATGATTTATTTCATCAAAATCATTATCTCTGATTCTGTGTGCCTAACTTGAAATCTTTTCTTGTGTCCCTTTTTGTACGGGTGGAGAATACATTTTGAAAAACTTCCCTCCAATAATCTACGCTAAGGATACATATTTAAAAATTAGGATTTCTCCTCCACTCAGCCATCAAACAGGTACTTCTGAGGGAATTTAACATTTTTTGTTTCTGTTTCGATGGATCGAAAAATAATCCACGAATATGGGACTTAAAAAAGGGTGTCCTGATTTTTTTAAACGAAATTTTTATTATTATTCTGAAATATAGAATCAGGGAACTCCATGCCACCCAGTCTCAGCTTTATACGTTTCCCCAAAAAATATTTTGAAAAACAGAAATTTGACATTTGAGCTGAGTGCTTCACCAGTCACGTTCTTCCCATGTTACAGCTTTCCATGTGTCTCCGTTTGATTGAAGCAAAGAGAAATATTTGAAAATATGTTCCCGAAAAGATGTGCTCCTATGGCGTGTATCACCAAAGTAAACTTTTTTCTGAACTCAGCATGTGAATAGCTACTCATGTCAGTCAGTCAGCTACTCACGATCATCTATATATAAAATGGGAGTAGAATTATTTCTTTACCCAGCTATTCATTAGGTATTTCTTTGCCAAGTTTAAACTTTCTAGCACCCTCTGTTTTGCTGAATCAGAAAATTCATGAAAATTTGGAAAATATCTGCCCTCGGGCGTTTTCACCGAAAAGTACCATTTTTTTCATCGAAATCAAACCATAGTGAACAGCATGCCCACAAAGTTTCAATATTATACGTTTGCCCTTTTCGCTGTAGAAAAATCATGTTTGGAAAAGCCGACCCACCCAAAAGTTATGGCCGGAGTGGATGCACCATGAATGCTGAATGCTCCCTCAACTCAATAATATAACGTCACTCATACGTGTGCCAAGTTTCACCTTTCCATTTCCGTCCAATTCGCTATGACAATTTCTTCTTTTGTTAAACATCGCCCCTCGTGAACCTTTCCCCCGGGGATGTATCAAGACTTAACATTTTCTTTAGCTCCTCATCATGGTAGTCACATTCATGCAAAGTTCCAGCTTTCCATGTCCATGCAAAAAAATCATGTGAAAATATCTCCCTTTGAAATTCATGCCCCCTGGGCATTTCATTCCAAAGTATGAATTTTTCTGCAGGCAGCATCCCAGTAGGTAATTATGTATCAAGTGTCATCTTTCCACACTAGCACAATACACCACGACAAAGAAGTATTTGAAATCTTTGGCCCCCAAAAATATGCCCCCTGGGGTATGGATATAAATTTTGGCAATTTTCCTGAACTCATCGTGTCGGTAAGCACCTCCATTCCACGTTTCAGCTTTCCATGTCTCTCTGCTTTATTCAAGCAACGGGACATGGAAGGCAAGAGAAACCAAAAAAAGGCTAGTAATGGGAGAATTGTACCCTAGTCTCACGATTACCGGTCCGATGTGCACCACCGAAACTAAGACACGAATTCGTAGCTTTCGATGACATACTTATCCATCACGATATATATTTTAAAAAAACTTCTCACCCCAAAATTTGTACCCCCAGGGCATGAACCTCTAAAGTCTGATTTTTTCTGAACTCTGCACCCCAAAAGGTACATGTGTACCAAGTTTTTGATTTCTAACTCTTTTGGAATATGGTTAGAATTAACGTCAGACAGTCAGTCACGATCGTCTATATATATTAGATGAAAGTAGAACTGTTTCTATACCCAGCTATTCATCAGGTACTTCTTTGCCAATTTAAACTTTCTAGCACGCTCCATTTTCCTGGATCACAAAATTCAGGAAAATTTGCAAAATATGTGCCCTCAGGGCTTTTAACTGAAAAGTACCATTTTTACCTAAATCAAACCTCAGTGAACTACATGCCCACCAAGTTTTAATATTATACATTTGATTTTTTGCTTTAGAAAAATCATGTTTGATCAAGGATCAACATTTCTCTTTAACACCTCATCTTGGTAGTCACATTCATCCAAAGTTGCAGCTTTCCATTTCGATTGGTTGAACTAATGCAAAAAATTATGTGAAAACATCTCCCTTTGAAATTCATGCCCCCAGGGCATTTCATTCCAAAAGTCTGAATTTTTCTGCATGTAGCATCCTGTGTAGGTACTTAAGTATCAAGTTTCATCCTTCGCACTAGCTCAATACACCAGGCCAAAGAAATACTTGAAAACGTCAGCCCCCCAAGAATATGCCCCCAAGGGCATGGATCTAATGAGTTCCATTTTTCCTGAACTCATCGTTTCGTTAGGCACGTCCATGCCACGTTTTAGTTTTCCATTTCTCTCCGTTTTATCGAAGCAACGGGACATGGAAGGCAAAAGAAGAAAATTAAAGGCCTGGTATTGGTGGGAATTGAACACGGGCCTCCTGATCATCAGCCCGATGTGTTACCACTACACCACAGAAACAGGATATGGCAAGCGTATTCTTTTCCATCGTGATATATATTTCAAAAAAACTTCTCCCCCCAAAATATGTACCCCCAGGGCATGAACCTCCAAAGTCGGATTTTTTCTGAACTCTGCAACCCAAAATTTACATGTGTACCAAGTTTCAGATTTCTATCCTTTCTGGAACATGGTTAGAATTTGCGTCCGTCAGTAAGTCAGTCACGATCGTCTATATATATTAGATATATACAGTAGACGATCATGACTGACTAACGCTAATTCTAACCATGTTCTGGAGAAGTTAGAAATCTGAAACTTAGTACACACCAGTAATTATTTAGATGCAATGTTCAAAAAGAATCCAACTTTGGAGGTACATGCCCTGATTGCCATTTCAGAGGGGCTGATTTTGAAAGCCAATGCACAGTCTCCAAGACAGTGATTTAGGCCAACGGAATTCTCATTCTCGTGTTCCTTCCTATGTTATGAAGGAAGTTGGTGTAACTGCTAGGTTGTTCACTAAGGAGGATTTCCGTCTTTAGAAGGGGCGGTACATGCCCTGGGGACAATTTTCATGATGGGGCTGATTTCGCGGGCCGAGGCCTAACCTTTGGATGGACGCTCAGGCCAATACCATTATCAGGGACTCTTCTTCAAAGGAAGCGGCATGGAAAACAAACAGCTACTGGTTCACATACTTAAAGATAACAGTTCCGGCAATGGAGGTACGTGCCCTAAAGTGACTGATTCAGCAGACCCATATCTAACCCTTGCATGGACGCTTAGACTTTCAGAGGACCTTATCGGCCTATTTGAACGGGAAGATCGCTGCATTAGCATGCGGCGCGAGGTCTTTGCCCTATGCCTTTCTAGGTCGTAGGTTAGGTAGAAGGACTTGGATTCATGCGTACCTGTATACTTGTGGATGCGAATTGCTTTCATAAATTTTTGTAGCAAGGAAGATTTTCCCTCCACTTTCCAATTTACGGTGGTTATGTCCAATGCAGAACGCATCGACTAATGGCATTTCTGTTCTTATGCTTCAACTAAGCAGGAACGTAAATAGCCATAAACTGCCTTCATGAGCGACGTATATTCTCTTGGACAGCTGTACGTTGAGTTAGAAAAAGGGATTCCATAAATGTACTTGTGCCTAAATCTAATATATATAAACCATCGTGACTGACTGACGCTAATTCTAACCATGTTCCAGAGAAGTTAGATATCTGAATCTTGGTACAAGTGTACTTCTCGGGATGTAGAGTTAAGATGCTAATTCAGTCTCATCAGCCCTGAGGGGACTGAGTTAGCAGGCCTATTGGAAACACTTGGACAGATGCAGAGGCTTACACCAATCTCGCCCGACCCATTCACATCGAGGAATTTCTCCGCACATCTGACCGACAATCCTTCTGCCTGAACCCAAAGCGTGAGGCCTTCCACCTATGTCGTTGGGTCATATGTGAGGGGTAGGACACGAGATGACGCTTACCGGTACGCTTGCAGCTGAGAATGGATTCTATTGATTTTTTGGCAGGGAAACAGTAGATGGTCTATCGACATCGCGTTTTTAATTGATAACCTATACCCTTTAGAAGAGTTTAAAATGGAACAAGTTTCAATTAAGGTTTTAATATTTCAATTAGGCATATGGTACCTGTTTGATTCTTATTTGGCCGACTCAGGCTTTTGTCCTACCTTCCTGCCAAAAACATGATTTGGTCCATGTGAATTGTCATGGATACCATCTNGTAGATGGTCTATCGACATCGCGTTTTTAATTGATAACCTATACCCTTTAGAAGAGTTTAAAATGGAACAAGTTTCAATTAAGGTTTTAATATTTCAATTAGGCATATGGTACCTGTTTGATTCTTATTTGGCCGACTCAGGCTTTTGTCCTACCTTCCTGCCAAAAACATGATTTGGTCCATGTGAATTGTCATGGATACCATCTCCATGCCTTATATAGTAATGTCCGCTTGGAAAATAGGGAAATTACTCATTAATCCCATAGATACTACTTGAGAATGGCAGTGTCAATGTGCTTGGGGGCGACTGTCTTGAAAGTTTTTTTCAGTTGACCCAAAATCCAACATGTTCTAACAATAGAGAAGAGTATGCAATAGACGAATGGGAATCTGGGCCATTTGGTATCTATTTTTTTCGATCTGGGGAATAGCAGTGCGCATTCTCCAGACCAAAGGGAATTGGTGCCAAATGGCAGGCATTCCCTTTGGTCGATATCTGAATGTTGGGGATTTCTCTCTTGCTTTCTTCCTCGGTAAGACTAATCCAGAATGATAGATCCATTTTATAGGCAGAGTCCTTCCTACTCCATTTGTTGGACTTCAGACAAACACAGGTTTTACTTTTTAAGAGCACATATATAACAATTTATTGTCTGAGATCATACAAACAAAATGAGTTCTTCAAACCAACAATTAGGAAACCTGAAAGCATTATTTACTGGAAAAGTGAGGAGCACCGAACTTCAATTAAAATCATCAAGTACTCACTACTGAGGCTTATTAAAGCATTTCATGCAGGAAACAGGATTTTCACTACGAACTCAAACTCAATGTAAGGTCTTATACTATAGTATGCATGCAGAATGAAGAACAAAAAATGTATGAGTCACACTGCAATGTCTTGAAACAAAATGCTCCATGAGTCTTCGACATATTGCAAGTTCAGATGAGATGTGATGCATGATGTTCACCACCTTCCACATTTCCCAGGAATGAGATTAAAGCTGCGTGTAGGCAAGCTCCACCTTCCATCTCCATGAAATCATCACCTGGCAGATGAGGGATAGATAGGAATTATACATCATTTCTTAATTTTAGATGGCACTTTAAGGCATTCACTCAGTCATCTGTTACATGACATACAGAACTGACCTGGAAGAGGCTATTCTTCATTTTCATGGGACAGTGCGATATGGTGAATGCATCCCTGCTGAGAAGCATTAGAAGAGAGTCCTTATACATCCTCTGCTGATCTCCGAAGGGGCAGGAATTCCTGGAGGTGAGAAAAGACAAAGCCATGATCCAATGCTTTCGTTAAGTTTGGTAGCAGGGTTTAATACATGAATAAGAATTAGACTCATCTCCATCCTGGAGAAAATTGCTAACAGAATCCTTTCTCCCTTGGGAGCCTCCTCATTGTCCTTCCTTGTGCATAAGCAGATATTTCCTGGAAGGAAGGAAAAACAGAATGCACGAAAAAAAAAATCATTTACAGTGTTTCCTCGAAGCTTGCCTGCCGTGCATTCTTATTTTTATTACAGCTACTTATTCAAGAATGCAACTCAATGAAACAATCTCTATGAACAAAACGGTAGTTTTGCTTCTTTAAAAGTTTCCCAAAATACAAATTCTTATTAAAAAGGAGAAAATGTAATACTTCACATAACTGACCATGAATAATTTAAATCTATACTTCCTCTGAAATGCGGTCTTGTTGGATCGTCATCCGGTCATCTGTTTCTTGATGCAGCCGCTTCAGTTCTGCAGCTGTTTCACTCGTCAGTCGCTGACTTTTCTCAGTGAGTGTAAACACCCATAATAGAAGGGATTCACGATGAACAGATGACGTGCTGTTGGTTCCTGACATGGGCTTCCACGATTTGGGATAGCCTCCCATATACCAGTGGATCTTCACTGTATCGCCATATTCTATTGCCTGAAACTCTCCCAACCAAGGACGGGATACCTCTTCATATGTATAGACGGCTGCGATCATTCCTGGCTGGAGATCTTCAGTCCCACTAAATGCCCCCTGCCTGCGGCTTCCCACCGAACCGTTGATAGGCTGTTGAAATAAACATAGTGCAATAGAAGGAATGATATACAGACAGTTGCACTGTTGCCTCATTAGGCATTGGATACTTTTTTCTCGTTTCTTGGAAAAAAAATCTATCTGAAGCCCATATACAATTTTAAGCACAACTTTTGACTTGGGATCATTGCATTAATAGTGAAAAAAGAGAAGCAATAGACTTCTCTTTGGCACTTCTAATACTACAATAAAAATGCTCCTCAATTCTTCCACATTGCCATGGATATGGCGATGCAGATAATGAAGCCAATATTTGCTTGGATTTTATGTATATAAACATTTTTTACCTGCTCCAGAGGTCTGAGCAACTGGTTCTCCATGCCCCTTAGGAAGTTCAGCGTGGTTGGAGTCATTCCTGGTGTGGTCAATGTCCTCTTGTGTTCCACGAGAGTCCAGATGTATGGAGTGGCTTCCTGAAACAAGTACACATATCAACAGTTAGCAAGCTGATACATATTCAAATGATGCATTGGCATACTTCAGGACTTGAAAACTTCACCAGTTCAAGAGTATCGATGGAGAACATATTCCATGCTTCAATCTTATCCTCTTGGAAAGTAGTGAGGTATTCAGGTTTTCACTTTTTTCAACCCTGCCCTTTCCCAGTCAGGATGAACCAGGGAAGTGAATGTGTCAACAGGTGGAGTTCTCTGAGGACAAGACAGAACACATATTATCGGACTACCTACTAATGCAGCAGCATATCAAAGAGTCTTTACTCTGACGAACCTGCTAGTGTTCCAGTTTGAGCGTGAGCTGATTTCACCTTTAAGGTTGCTTTGTCACTTTCAGAGAGTGTTTACAGGGTTATGCGGAGCTAATAAAATTGAAATGTCATTTTTGAGTCAAAACTTATTCGATACCTATGCAGGATTCTGTAATAGGAAATCTTGTAAGAAATCTAGGTAAACAGCCCAAATCAACCAATGACAATGTTTGGATTCATGGTAAACATCTCAGCATGAATGATGCTGCTTAACATGGAAGTTTTGCTATGGATTGGGTTAAATCTATTGATAGGTTATGAAAGTAATTATATAATAATAGGCGTTGTATTCACCTTTCTAATTAGAATGAATTCAATAAGGCCTTCACCTCCTGACTAAACCAACATATGAAAATGCTTTTGTCACAATCCTTCAGGACCAAGTACCCTAAATCTGGGCCAAGGGCTTCTCTGTCATACTGGTTATCCTCTTCATTTGGGCACCAATTCGCCATAGCATGTTTGCGAACATGCAGTTGGGTAACTCCATGGATCTTTCGGAATCTGAATCCCAAAGGTAGGCTGTGTTTCTTGAAATGCTGTGGAAAATGAAGTCGCACAGTATTCTTAAAATCATGAACCACAATGACTTCCTCAGCATGAAGAGCATCTTGCCTTCCTCTCCTTTTGATCTCTCACAGGCATTTCATCAGGTCTGTCATGCACAAAAAGAAACATCAATTACTAAATACATGTAACATATCTGAGCAATAATTATATGAAAGACACATTGCAAGGTCACATTTGGCTGCATTCAATGCATACTTTGAACCCTGAAAGCTTTGAATCTCGAAGCTCACCATCTACTGTGCAAGTGTCTCTGGTCCTCAGGTAGTTGTTAATGGAACTGAAGAGCTGATCCATGTCTTCATGGGTGTGACCAACTGGGTGGAAATTAAAAACCACCATGGGGATGGAAAGGAAAACATGAATCACCTATTAACAGAGACTTGACATCTTACTTAAACAGAGTTCCACTACATCTCAAATTAAATACTGTTGTGTGAAAATTTGATCCCAAATGAAGATTTGCAAAGATAAACTTCCCCTTTGCAAGATTATGAAAATTAACCCATTTTATTTCTTCAGTAAAATGAAAAGGCATCAGGAGCCTTAAGTAATGCTATCCTTAGAAGCTACAGGTGAGAACTCAATGTAATAATACTGATTTAATGGGGTGCAATATGTTATAACCTTCAAGTTTACATTCCAAGCAAGGGGTATAATGAAGACATCAACTAACTTCTTCAAATATGCCAGTCTCCACCAGGAGATATGCGAGAGCACAGATGAACTTGTTCTTCTTCTCCCGGGCACAGTTATCCATCTGCAGGAAGAGTTTATTCTTCAAGTCCATCTTCACATGCAGGAGTGACCGAAGGATGATATCCACACATAGATTTGACTCATGTGGAAATCGCCCCATGTCCACAAAGGCGAATTCTCGAATACCCTTGCCAATATACACCATGACTCCTGGACAGCATAATACATGTCAGAATTTCATATGGCTGTTGATGTATAAGGTTAGGACATTTCATGAGAGTGCAATCAATAGCCCATCTTTGCAGGGAAATAAACCCCCTGGCATCAAGTTGGGTTCGGGCCAATTTCATTCCATGAAAATTCAGATAATGAATATCATATGAGAAATCACTACATCTGTAGGTGGTGGGTCATTTGCATCGATTGCAGGTAGGGGGGTTTTAATTCATGGGAATTCATCATCATCATATTTCCGCATAAAATTTTCTGATAGCCATGAATAGAAACAACCAAGAAAATTAAAAAGGATGATAATCGCTAGTGATATGGATGATGATCTTTGGTAAGCTTGTGGTGTGTTTGTCTTCCTTGGAAAATCTTTGTATGTTGGTTTTCGCTTGGTCCACACCATCAATCACAATTGTGAGCCAATCATAATTTCTGAGAGCCATAACTTTGTGGTCTGCATAATTGGATCGCTGCACCCTGTCAAAAAGAGGCAAAAAATACATGTCATTTGCAGCCAGTTTAATGGATGAAAACAGAAACCTCAAGTAAAAAGTGAATTCTCTTACTCTGCTGTCTTCAAGTGTGCATCTCGAAGTGATTCCAACTTTCTCCATGTGTCTCCATTTGCTTTCCTCGGCTTCACCCGAAATCCTTCACATTTGCCACAGCTGGGGAAGGCATTTGGCTAAAAAGGAACAGGACAAGGTATTATGCTACATGCAATGTAGAGGATGCAGGATATGGTATCATGGTACATAACATAGAGAAAATGCAAAAAGTTAAAGACTTTTCTTTGATTCTCAGGCTATCCAAGTGAGGTGAAAGGGACTAGGGAGGGGAGGAAATACTGGTTGGAGATGGTTATTGTTTCAAATGCGATCATTAAACACCTTCTGACGGTGACCTTGGTCTACATAAAACCTGTACTCCTAATATTGATGGATGAAAATCTCATTTATGAGGCCATATTCTTTTTTTTTCTCTCGTGCGATTTCGATTTCCCTCTTAGCAAGATGCATAGCTGGTATGTGCCACATTTAAATGCATGCCTAAGGTCGAGCAATATGCTTTAGCAAAGTCTAAGATAATAATAGAATACTGCCCCTGGTCTCCATGTGAATTTCCCACTCCCCCACCTCAAAAACTTGTTAGCTATGCTGATTTTAAACATAGCCCATGCAAATGACAATTTAAAGAGATATAATGAAGAATGTATATCAATTTTGAAGTGAAGTCAGAGCAACAATGATTCCAGCAGAATGTCTATGCCACACTATATGGTGAATTCATAGCTCAATTGGACTCATTTCAATTATTTTACATTACCATGTACAAAAACTTGTTGACTATTGATCCTGTTCACTTATGAGTAAAACATGGCATGCATGTCAATAATGGAAAGTACAACAGTCTCATTTCTCACCTTTCCAAGAGAAATTTTCATTTTTCTGATAAGGGTTGAGAAGCTGCTGAACTGAAGAAGGCTCTCCTTGCAGTATCTCTTTGTGACGAATTCATTTAGGAAGAGTTTGTGCATCTCACTTTTTGTGAATCCTTGAAGAAATATCTTCTTTGTAGGGGTAGGTGAATGTTGCCAATGATCTTGCAGAAACCTCTTCAGCCAAGCTTGAGCAAACTCTTGCCTGGGTTTCCTTCTTGGAGTCTTCAGAATTCCAGATGGTTTTCTTCTCTGTAACGTCTTCCAAGCCAGATTTGTGATGTTGAACAGGCTTAAGCAGCACAGTTTACAGAGTGTTACACCTTTCAATGTGAAAGTTTGGTTACTCCTGGATGGGTTTCTGTGAATCAAATCCATTATATACTTTTCTTTTTCCTTCTTGGTAATCCTTTCCAGCTGATCTTCAATGTCGTATAGATCAGCAATTGTCATCCTGTTTTCCTGACTGAGGCTACATTTGAAAAGAAATCACAGGCATCAGTGAAATTTCCCATGGATTGTCAAAGTATCATGCATCGCTTCAAAGAACAATATAAATAGGCTCATATTCATGAATTATTTATAATAAAAAAAACAGGATTGACATACAACTGGTAATTTTCACAATATTTAGAACCATTCTTAAGTAGGGTTTTCTGGTTTATAACTAAAAAGAACATATTTTGTCCTCATAAATATGTGAGTGTCACAGAGTTTATAGAATAAAAAATGGCAAGCAATTGAGAAATTATTCTCTTAATATCAAAGCCTAGACTCTTCCCTTCTTAATCTGCATATTTAACATTTGTAGACGACAAGGCAATCTTACCCATTAATATAGCATTTCCTCCCAATACAATCATCACATGAAAGGATCCAATGGCTATGATTACACATAAGACTTACCAATGACATCAGATGAATCATCAAAAATCCCAGTTTTCACAGCTCACCTCACCCATCTGTAAAAATGAGGAAAAAATAACATAAACGATGGCTGCAAAAAGTCACAATGCACATGAACTCAATGAATGAACAAAAATCTTCCTAATAGCATGTTTCTTGATTATTGGTTTCCACCCAATTTTGTAACAATTTCTAAAATCCAGATGACATTGTTTCAAAGATATGCAGTACTTTCATGGCTTACCCAAAGAGGTGGAGTGTTTCTCATAGTGTTACGTGCTACTGTGAATGATGACATTTCCATGAGGTTTGAGAAATTGTTTGGGGAAGAATGAAGGATTCGGACTGAGTCTTCCAGGTCGTTCCAGTGCACACTGTGGGGGGGGGGGGGGGGTTCCAGCTGCACTGGTACCTTGTGCCCTAGGGGAGATTGAAGGAAAAGTCAGGGAATCAATTCAGGCATTTTATGGAATGCACTGGAAACAATATGAGAACTGCTTACCAAATGGTGCCTCATCGAATGACACAAATGGCCTGGGAGATGGTAGAGCATGGATATCAGAAACACTCTGATTCAGGGAGTTGTTAGATTCTGCTGGATGGGTCTCACCTCCAATCATGACAATATGTAATAGCAAAACATGGTTCACCAATACCACCTTTTCATGGCAATAATTACCTGATTTGTCCTGAACCATGCTGAATGATGTAACTGGGGAAGGTAATGCCACTACCAGAGAAAATGATGCATTCAAAGTTTCTTCCCTGTTGCCTTCTGTTGGTCCTCCTTTGCATAGAAATCAAATTTCAACATCATTTTTAACTTCAACTTCCTATTCTAATCTATCAAATTACTTTTTAAACCCTACAAGCTCCAAATAATGGTATTGTGAGGTCTTTTATGAAGGTAAGGACAAGAAATCTTCAACAGTGCAAGGGCAAATGTTGATTAGTGCCACCTTCCAGGTACAAACAATGGGCTTCCATTACAATTGAATAAATTTCTTGAGCAAGTCAACTTCCAGTAATGCGAAGGTTAAAAGCTCTGCTAAGTAAAAGAGGCTTTTGAGCATATTAATGAAAAGATGGGTCTTGTTTCTAAAAATGAAACAAGTCACTTAAAATTCCTTCACCCAGGCCTCATGGCCTCAAGGCCTCATATGGCCTCAAGGCCGCATGTGACTTTTTGTAACTGTGACATAGGCCTACCAGTTTCTGAAGAGCCTTCGAATGACTTGACAAGGGAGGGAATCGTCATGGTAGTTGATGCTGATGCGTTCCAGGAATCACCGTTCCAGGAATCGGAACCGAGGGAACTAACCAGACCGTCTAACGAGCAGCTGAGAAATTGATACGAGTCGAGAAAGGTGACTCCATTCAATTTCACAACAAGAAATGTTTCTTCCGTACGAGGTATCACCTGAATATCCTTCGCCAATCCATGCTTCCCATCTGCAATCCCCTTCAATATGAGCTTCAGATCGTACTTTCCACCGTTGTGGATAATGACTCGGAAAGATTCTTTGGCATTTGTGAATCCTAGATTGCATGTGGGATGCGTGGCTCCTCTGATTTCACCCGTCACATGACAGTGATCGATGTGCTTTTCCTCTCCGGTCACAAAAGGATTACCGCAAAATTCCCTTCAATATGAGCTTCAGATCGTACTTTCCACCGTTGTGGATAATGACTCGGAAAGATTCTTTGGCATTTGTGAATCCTAGATTGCATGTGGGATGCGTGGCTCCTCTGATTTCACCCGTCACATGACAGTGATCGATGTGCTTTTCCTCTCCGGTCACAAAAGGATTACCGCAAATTGCACAATCCGATTGTAAAAGAATTGCTTCTCTTTCCTGCTCCGTAACAACAAGAGGTTTCTCGTGTTGCATAACGTATTCTTTCGCTGCATCCCTCATTTCAAAAATTGTAGTGAGAAAGTGAGAGACACAATCCTCTCCGATGTGGAACACCTCGTTCCAAACATGTCCAAAAAAATCTATCACTACCAAATGATAGCAAAAAGGTAGATGTTTTTGCACTCGACCTGAATTTCCCACCTCATCGCATCTCGAGAGAATGCACTCGAAATCGGCATACGCGACCATGGGCAACCGGAGGCATTTTTTAAAGGTATTAAACTCCAATGTGGACTTGTCTGGTTTCGGCATGTGAATTGCCGCAGCTGCGTGCGTCAAGCACAGGCGCCTATGCTTGTCGTATGAGTTCTTAGAAGAAAGTCCTGCTAGGCATCGATCGCAGTAGTGCTCACACCATTTCTTCCGAAAGTGATTCATGAATCCTCTCACGCAGCTGCGTGCGTCAAACACAGGCGCCTATGCTTGTCGTATGAGTTCTTAGAAGAAAGTCCTGCTAGGCATCGATCGCAGTAGTGCTCACACCATTTCTTCCGAAAGTGATTCATGAATCCTCTCAAGTTCTTGATCAGAACACCTTCTTCAAGCAGCAATAAAAACATCCGCGGGATGCTCTCATGCATGGTTGAGGCATATATGAAGTACACCCTATCTTGTTCCTCTTTCGCCCATTCATTACCTAGGATCGTGATGGCACGCCCGTTTCGTTTCTCAAAGTGAGGCACTTGCGCTGGTGAAACGGGAAAAGTGAGTCCCTGGACATCGTCTTCGGCAAAATACTTCTTGAAAACCATAACGTTTCCAAAAGTTCCGTCTTTGGGAGGATGATGAAACATTGCAATGCAATAAAGAAAGCACTGACCATCATCGTTATGTGGATTGATGAGGGATTGCATGGACTTGAGCGCATCAGGAAGTTGTACGAATTTGCTGCCTCGGATCGGATCGAAACGTGTCACTTCTACGAGGAATTTTTCGACGCTATCATAGATCCAACCGCTCCCGCGATTCTCCGCCTCATCTAACCTTCGTGTGAGATCCTGAGCGATCTCATTCACTCTCTCCTCTAGATTGTCATGCACGCCCGTAATTCCGATCGGGTCGGTACGGATGTTCATCGTCATCGTTTGCCGACCTTCTAACGTCAGGCGGTGACAACGTATGGACAATACTAATTGCAATTCACTCTCTCCTCTAGATTGTCATGCACGCCCATAATTCCGATCGGGTCGGTACGGATGTGCATCGTCATCGTTTGCCGACCTTCTAACGTCAGGCGGTGACAACGTATGGACAATACTAATTGCATTTTGATGGCTTGTTTATCCCACTGCTGAAAGTATTTTGAAAGAAAGTCGAGAAGAAGATCGTTCGAGACGAGAATAAATTCATCGGGATCATCATCCTCAATATCCGCCTGAACATCTATTGCGTAATTTTCTGCACCACGATTGGCCGCTGTTTCCTCAAGGGTGAAACGTCCGATGTGTTGTTCAACATCTGAACCTCCGCCAACCTGGTTTGCTGGGTGCAGTCTAGGTGGAAGGTGAACATCATGGATGTGTTGATTGAGGTTGAAGTGATGACGGAATGGTCCACGGTTGCAATGAGGAATTCCGCTCGGTTCTGAAATATCAGGAAAAGATGTGAATATTTTTCCTCCTCTTTCTCTTCAATGCGAAACAGAGATAAAGCGTCTTACCGTTTCATCAAGAGGAATTTCGTCACGATAGATGAACTTTTTGCCGTTGATTTGCTCTACAAAACTCGTGGATGGTTCAGGAGAGGCGAGTCGTCTTTTGGCAGGTGGCGATTCATCGCTGTTCTGCTCTTCTTTATTTTGTCCATGGCAATAACGACATCCGACAGGACTCGTTGACGTATTTGTCACCGTCGATAGCTGAAACATATGTAGGGACTTGTTGTATTTTCACAGACAAGGCAAAAAATAAACAAATACGGCATCGCGTACCTGGACGTTCTCGCATCGTCTATCTTCGAATGAATTATCAGGATGAGCTGTCGGAGTCCCTGTGTGGTGGATCCCATGCACGGCAACCTCGAGAGGAACTCCTTGATTGTGTAGCGTCGCATCTAACGGTGCGGGTGCACGAAGCAGACATAGACGAGAGTGATTTTGTTGGTTGTATTTTCGAGAGAAGCGTTTTCCACAATGTGGACATGGATAGACAGGACGCTCTTCCTACAATACCATCATCCTCACCATTATCACTATCGTAATCATATGCTAGAAGAATTATTACATGCGCAAAGATATCACGCTATACCGTACCTGATTCAGGTGTGTGCGTCGATCTCGATCTCCTTTCTTATCAAATCGCCGCCCGCACTCAGCACATGACCACTGCTTGCGATCCATTATTTGCATGCACACGCGCGCGAAGAAAGTGAGGGAGTGAGAAGGGGAAAAACAGGAGAGATGAGGGTGTCTGGTCTCCCTTCTTTTCCCTCATATCACCAGCTGTTACTGACTTTCCCCCCTCACGTACACACGTGTTAAATTACTTCTTTCAAGGGAATGCTCTCTGCTAGCGTTTTTTGCTTGCTCTATGCCACGACTCCGTGCCGTCTCGCATCAGCAGTCTGTTAGAGAAATGTATTAAAACCTGAATTTTCTGCGTGTGTTAAGATGAAGGGAAAACTCTGTTGTGTAATTGAGAGGGATGATCACGTTTATTTTGTTTCCGAAGGTTTCGCAAAAAAAATAATAAAACAAACAGTAATTTAAATATTATCTTGATTAATACAAAAAGGTAGGTCACACCTCCCAGTGATCCTAGATAAAAGTAGCAAATATTAACGTTAGGCAGTTTGTCGAAGAAAAATTAAATATATATTTTTTGCAAACACTTACAACTTACAACGAAGCTAACATAGCCTCCCTCTTCTCTCAGCTCCTCTTCATCCTCCTGAGTAACAAAAATGTCGTCTCACCCAACTAAAAGACCAGACCATCAAATGTTATGCATATTCACCGCTTCATTCACTTCAACCCACAGATCATGAGGTATACGAACACAAATGCGTTGCTTACATGACCCCCTGATCAGGTGGTGGGTTGATGACTTCCTGGTCAGGTGTTGGAGGGTTAAAACCCTGATTAGGGATGGTTGCTTCTCGAGCGCGAAAATAGCAGTACACACCCCCAACTCCCGCGATCAACAACAATGCAGCCAAACCGACAGCGAGGCCTAAAATAAGTTGACAGACATTTGTAACATCCTATGCTTATTAAGAACCATAATGATTTACTATACTCACCAATCACGACTCCGGATGGGATGTTCTGAGAGGCGGACGAATCTGCTTTAAAAAAAAAATTTTTGTTCACCAAGTCGAGAATAATTAAATTACTCTTTAATCAAAATGTATTCATATTCCTCAGATATACACAATACGAGTCTTATTGATTCACTCACGAATCATGACACCGGGCACTATAGAGGGCAAATCATAAAATAATTTGACAGACATTTGTAACATCCTATGCTTATTAAGAACCATAATGATTTACTATACTCACCAATCACGACTCCGGACGGGATGTTCTGAGAGGCGGACGAATCTGCTTTAAAAAAAAATTTTTTTTTCACCAAGTCGAGAATGATTAAATTACTCTTTAATCAAAATGTATTCATACTCCTCGGATATATATATTTTTTTATAATAATAGGAGCTAAGTGAATGGTGGGCCCCGCTATCAGTGGTGGACCGCCACATGACTCCCGTCCTCCAAAGTGAGATCCTCCCAACACCAGGGCTGGCAGAGTGCAAAACCCTGGAGAAGCTGTTGTGAACGCCATGGGAAGGTGACCCATGACTCAGGCGTGAAGAGGAGTGTGCAGGCACGCTCGCCTCCACGCCTGGATCTCTCCCGTTTTTACTTTAGCTGATAATTCTATTTTCCTTTTGACAGAGAGAGAGCGGCCTTTAATGAGAAGCAAAAACAAGAAGATCCTATCATTGAGTTGGTTAGTAGATTTGGGGCTGATTATGTTTTAGGTCCACTTTTTTCTGAAGAAGTTTAATTTACGCCCTAGCATTTTACGTTTCTTTTTCTTTAAGTTCGTTTTAATTTACTTCATGCTGAATTTACTGGATTTACATCCTGTCGGAAGTTGTTTAAAGGATTGATGCCCCATAGGAAGAATAGGTGTCTCTGGGTGCCAGCTGGCCGGAAGGGCCTTTTCAGGCGCCCTGGTGAGAAGAGGTGATGCATTGTGTTATTTGAAACATTCGATTCATGCGAGAGGAGTTTTTAGGAGTGAGGCAATGAATTGGCCGCTAAAGTGAGAGTGAGAGGGTCTGGATTTTTTTTTCATGCTCAGAAAGAGGAAAAGCAAAAGGAAAGAGAGAGGAACGAGCGAGTGGAGGAAGAGAGAGAGAGTGAAAGGGAGTTGTGAGGGAAGGAAGTGAAAAGTGGCTTTGAGCGAGAGTGCGCTTAGAATATTCTTCCGCGGCAGAAAAAAAGCACTGCGCGAAGGAATAGGAAGGGTCAGGAAGTGGAGTGAAGCATGAGTGAGAGAATGAAGAGGTTGGTTTCCACCCTCATCAGTTCAGGTGCCCCAGAAAAAAAGCACTGTTGACACAGGAACGATGAGAGCGGGATGGTTCAGGGGTCAGGAGATGGTTGGTTAATCGTTTTCCCTAAACGTTCCAAGATTTTATTATAAGGATATGTTTTACTGTGCTTGAAGCTTGTGATTCCTCGGATATACACAATACGAGTCTTATTGATTCACTCACGAATCATGACACCGGACACTATACACTCATAGAAAATTCCGAGCGTTTTGGGAGTAAGAAGTGAGCACACCGTGAGCTTTTCGAATTTATTCTTTTATTACTCACCAAATGCTCCCTCGTCGCTCGTACTGAAGTGAACACCTTCAAGTTCTTCGCCAGGCCCCTATATGGCGGTAAGGGTCTCGCTTTTCGCACAGTACACAAAATTCCCTTCTCTCTTTCCCTGGAATCGTCTCTTGCTGGATTGTTTAGTACCTTGCCGTATGTCTCGCCTAGTCTCATTATAGGAATCAATAAACACGGACACGTCATCATTTGTTATCCACATATTCGAGACATATTCATGGAGTCCAGGCCATAAACAGGCTGATATTCCTATTGAGAACGCTTTTGGAACGCGTTTGATTTTATCCGCATAGGAGACCTAGAACAAATAGAGTGTGTCCGTGAACTTCAATCATATACCTCAAATAATTAGGGTCATAGGGGAATGATATCCCGGGTACTCCACTGAACCTATAAGAGGTGATCCTCCCTCTGACCTCTATTGCGATCAGTAGTGTCAGTGGTAAGTCATCGCCTGTACGAGAGCGAAAGCAACACACATTATATATGAGAATTTTCCTATTTGCATGACATATCCATCACTTTCTGATGGGAGCGTTTTTACTCACGGAGGAGGAGAGCAATTTTACTCCTTGGTGATGGAGCAAATTCGCTCCTTTCCCAGAGTGAAAGGGGGGTGAAAATGGAGTAAGCTATTTTACTCTCTTTTTTGAGAAAAATCGCTCCACTTTTTCTAAGAGTGTAGAGGGCAAATCGGTTTCTGCAAAGAAAAGGCTTCCTTGATTATTTTCACAAAGCAGAGGAGTGTCACAATCACGTTTTCCTCAATTACCTTCACATGTGCCAGTAAAAATGACCGCATGGAATGCCTCTCGGTTTATGCAAGTCACATTCCATGCGGTCACCAGTCGCACCTCAGGGTAGCCACGTGTCAAGCATTCGAAGTCTAATGTTTTCTGGTCCTTTGGAATGGTGATGGTCTTGTTCCTGAGGGGAGGAAAAGGAGGAAGTCCCCCAACCTCACAAATAGAGATGACGTCTCCCGCAAAGAAGAGAATGAGAAGGAGGCAAAACATGTTGTTCATTTACACAGTGATTGAAAAGATCATGTCATCCCGAAAAACGTTCTTCCTTCAAATACTTCCTAATGATCGTTCCAAAATACTTCACTACTAAAACTACGTCGTCAATCACTCTTTCCACCTCTTTCCAGGACTTCGAACAAGATACTGTGTGTAAAATGTCTCTTGGTTTCAGGAACCTCGGGATAGTTTATTTTGCGATAAGATTCTGCGATACAGTGAAAGAGGTGTTTTCGAGGTTTCGCAGGGACTGATTCTTCCTGCAAGGGCGAAAACAACATAAAGTGTGCAGGATGCTTGCAGAGGACGGCATGGCGATGTAGACACGTGGGTTATGGATGTCCGCTCGATAACCAGCCTTTCGGCGATTCATTTCCTTCCTTTCCCATTTCAG